GATATAAACAATGTTAAGGATAAATATATGGACAAGAAAGCTCAAATAAACAATCAAAGTTTTCGAGTTATAGAATACTCGAATATCCGCCACTCGACCAAATCAACAAGATGCACGCATACCATCCACCAAAGTCTCCACAAACAACACCCATATGCTCCAATTGAATTGCAATATTGCTTGACTTATTACACAATTTTTTTTTTTTAAAGAGTTACTATTTCCGAACAAACTCGAATTGCAAGGACAATATTCCTTAGGTTTAAACATTGGAGGTCATCCAAGTGTCCTAAGGTGGTTTCCCAATACTCATTACTCGTTAAAATGAATAACATGTAAGCGGAGTAGAATCCAATCGATCCGTATTGCGAGCTCTCGTGTATTTTATTTTTTTATTTTTATATATTTTTTTTATATTTTTTTTTATTATTTTTTTATATTGGTCAAGCAATAAAATGCAACTCAATTTTTACCTCGTTCAAAAATATCGCCACTTCACCAATCGAAACTCAAGACCTATCAACAATCAGATATATATATATATAGGGTTAGGATCATATGAGAATGGTGCTCTAGGAAAGAAATAAGAATAAATCTAGACCATGGGATCAACCATATAAATGGTTATGATGAAGTCAAACAATGGTCAATCATTAATGGCATTCTGGTAATTATTTGATCATATTATGCTCAAATATGTACATTTGACAATAACTAAGGGTAATTCAGACATTTAATTTAAACCTAACTTGTGGGACCCACCACTACCCATATTAAAACTCCACAAATCACATGTGACACCCCACCTACCTACCCCCTACCCCCTCCCTCATTCTCTTCCCCCCAGACACTCACACACACACACTTTACACACACAACACACGCTGCACACATACACACACACACACAACACACCTGCACACACAGTTTCACACACAAACTCGCACACACACACACACATACTCTTCAGGCCGGTAAGAATGTCCCGAGGAAGACGACGGCCCCGGCCACGAGCCGCCACCTCCGTCAATATCACTGAAAAGAATGGCGACTGAGTGGTCCTCGGCGACCGGCCGCTTTATTTGTAAGCATGACCGGCGGCGCCAGTGTAGGAGGCGGCAGATCGTCATCGAAGTGGTCGTCGTGTATGTGGTGGAGATGGCCGGCGGGACGGTCGTTGTCTGAGTGGTGGTGTGTTGTTGTCCGTGAGGGGAGCAATGGTGGGGCTGGGCCGGGAACCGCGACGGCGAGCGGCGAAGGGTGGAGGAGGGTGTGCTTCGTTTCAGTTCGAAGGGGGCGGCGACGATGGACTAGTGGTCTCAGGCGGCGGCGGAAGGCAGACTGACGGCGGCGGGCTGTGGAAGGCGGGCGGCGGTCGGAGGATGGCAGCGGAGGGTGTCTGCAGGAGGGTTCTGGGAATTAGTTTTATTTTGGTTCAGGGGGATTCTGGGAATTAGTTTTATTTTGGTCAGAGGATGGCGGCGGAAGGCAGACTCGTTGGATGTTTTCAGATTTTAAGTAAATGAGTCCATTTTGTGAATTTAACAAGTCCTAAGGACTTGATTGCAATTTCAGAAATTTTCATATATTAC